CTCCCCTTACCCCGATGCTCTCCTCGATCAAGATATATTAGCGACCCACGAGCCCCCACAACGTTGTCACTTTGAAGGAAATTCACACATTTTCCCTGTAGTAAAAAACCGATAAGAAAGCTCATTTTGATAAACTCAGAACATGACGTCACTTATCATACTTGCGCATACCAAACTTTAGTCCAGCACGTGGAGAAATTATACTGTCATCACCACTGATTGTCATGATACCAATGGTAATCACTAACACTTTGGACAACGTCCTACTTCAGGGTTTTCAAACTTTGCAATTCGACGCTAAAAGTTGTGTGTGTAAATCTTGTTATTTTCTAGCTTGCTTGAGCCCTGTCACAGGGCGAGAGGCCTCATTGAAAGTCTATAATTGAAATTTAAAAGACCTTTGCCTGGAAAAGTGCATTCAAGAATTTCCGGGAAATCCAGATTAATAACGCTTTAAAGTTTGTCATTCGAAAAATAGGGTCTAAGGAGAAAAAGGCTCATCATTTTCATTTGCCATGCTGGCATTTAAAAATTGTTGTATTGGTGCAAATTTACGCTCTTTTTTGGCTTCTAAATAGAAATACGCTCTTAACTGCTTACTTACTCGATACAGCAGGCTGATAATTGGAATTGATAGAAAAAGCTATAGACAAATAAGATAAAGCGAAAATGGAGTGATATTATTTTTTGAAACAGGTGGTTGTTACAAACAAGGGGGCAAAATGATGGACCGTAACTATAGAGTACGTATTGAGTTGCCATTAGTTAGTCTATTTGCTTACCTCATTTGTCTATTGCAACCACCCATTTCCACCAAAATGAGCGCTCCTTTTTCTCTCTGTCTTCTGAGTCTATGGCTTTGTGCATCAATGCTAATAATCAGCCTACGACAGAGAACTTATTTCTAAATCGAAGAACCGCATCCCGATTTTTTGACTAGTTTTGACAAAAATCATCCCTCTCTCCCTCTCTCTCCGCGAACGATCACATTACTTAATTTCAACCATGAAAAAACGATTCCGTATCAAATGCATAACTGTATCATTGGCAACACCGGGTCGTGATAGCTCACTTCTATATTCACACTTTTTATGAGGCAGGCCGGGCGATGTGTCGAAAATCCTCTTGGAGTATGTTCATTAACACTTCCTACCGCCTCGTCCTATCACTATAAATAAAAAAGAAAAAAAAATCACTATAAATAAAATCCAGAATCACGGTGTGGCAGCGTCCCCCCTTGCCTCCTGTTTTACACAACGGAGCGTTTGACTATTAGATCGAGATAGCGCAAACAAATATGAAACTATAAAAAACTATTCGTTTTAATTTGTGCCCTAATCATCTTAGGGAACTTTTCGTTGGGAGACGGCCATTAGAGCTTTTAAATAAGGCGTATACGGATTCGAAACAGAGAACGCGTTTATTAGCCCGAGAATTCGGTCTAATCATCCTTCCTGATCTTGATTTAATGGCGTGCATTGAAGATCATATCGTTACTGACGGCCGCTATCTCGCTTGTATTTTTATGATTTTGAATATTTATGAGGGCGGGTCGTAGAGGGCTTTTCAGCTTCTTGGCGTCCTCTCTCCTTTTGCTGTCGATGAGACTGCAATAGAGATGTTCATTTTAAAATCAAGAAAAGCTTCGGTAATCTTGCTCGGTCGTGACTAATTTGAGGAGGATTTTATAGTTGTTGACTAAAATAATTATATCGCGTCATCGAATCCATTCGCCTACCGTGCAATCAACCCACTTTTGTGGTAAATTGGACAGGAGAAAAAAAATTCAAATGTTAAAATTTTAAAACAGAGCTGACCCAATCTAGAATTTCCATAGGTTTCAGCGTTCGCTGGAAAATAAAGTCTCGCAGATCAAGAGTCCAATCATCGTATTATCTAACATTACCCTGTATTAATGCAATTCATTTAGTTTTAGTTTTAAACCACGTAGATAGATACAAGGAAATACTTGTAGTAGTTACTTTATATTAAAATAAAATTCCCTCAAAAAAAAAAAAAAAATCAAGAGTCCAGAATCTTGAGAAATATGACAAGAAAAAATACTCTTGGTTCAATCGGATTTTTGCTTGAATCAAGAGCCATAAACCTCTTAATTTAAGCGGATCTCTTCTTGATTAAAGAGTATTTTCTCTTGTCCAATTGGTCAAGAGTCATGGATTCTGAATCCAATAGGTCCAGGAATCCAGTCTCTTTCTTACAACGTCTGTGGCAGTTATTCATTATTTTTCACGATCACCACTTCCTATTGTACTGCAGTTTAAGAAAAAAAGTTCGGATTTCATAACTATACCAACATCCGGAGGGATTCCAGGCTATGAAGTCATTTCCACGGAAAGCATTTCAAAAGCACCTGGATGAATTCAAAGAGCGTGATGAAATATCGGCCGAGATTCCTCGGTTTTGAAATCAAAGCAGTGCGAGCTTCCGTTTTGTGATACATCATTACCTCATCCAGCACAAGAAAATGAATGGTCAGAGTAGGTTCACCTCTGTCATTTTCTTTTTCATTGACTTCCAAATTCAAATTTTGTCTCACTCGATTATATATATTGCTTGGGTTGCTAATGCGAGGTTTCCAAAATGAATTGGCTCTGGTTTGGCTCTTCGATCGAATCTTAATTTCCAGTGTATGACCAACACAAATGTCGTACACCTGGGGTGTGGAATTCTGTAGTGCCAGGGAAGAACGTCGTATACCTATGAACATTCGAGAGTTGTCATATGACCCCGGATAAAACATGTATTTTTGGGGAAAGTTGTGCATATTTTTCCATGAAATTTTCAGATAATTTAGAGTAAATTGCGAATAACTTCAGGCAAAATATTCAAAATTTTCCCAGAAAATTTGGTTTTTTATTGATGGAAATATGGCAACGTCTAAGGACTCATACGGCCTTCTTCCTTAGCACGGCAGTATAGTTGAACATCATTTTGCAATTCGTAACTGAAACTTCTCGCTTTGTATAGGGAAACTAATTTCACGTAACTTGTCTCTAAACTGAGCCAGAAATTGTAGTTTCTGAAATTGCTGAATTTCATCAAGGTGTACCGCTGACTCTACGAGCAAGAGGTCCCCGGTTTGAATCCCGCCCACACTGAAAAAAAAAGTTCGGTAAATCCGAACTAGTTAGGATCATATGGAACCAGGTTTTGTCGGTACACACAACCGAATTATTCGGTCTGTTCAACCGAATTGTTCGGTTTGTGCGATCGAACCATAATAAATTCTTAAGGTTCGGTTCAGTGGACCGAACAGTTCGGCTGAGCAGACCGAATAATTCGGTCGTGTGTACCGAACAAAATCGCGGTTCCATGTGATCCTACCTAGTTCGGATTTACCGAACTTTTTTTTTCAGTGAGGCGACCTAAGTTGGAGGATCTCAAACAGTACGTAAACACCGTACAATCAACTCGAGTTTTTTTTTTCCTTTTTGTAAAAAAAGGAAGACTAACTATTTCCTCGAAGTAACCTCTGCAACAGATTCAGACTACATTGCTTGAAAAGCTAATACATAGGTCCGTGCATGAAGTAATTACAATTTCAGCCTGGGTTCAATGATATGCATCTCTGTTTCAGATCGGCAACACTGAGACGGAAATTTCATGGACAAGAGCAGTTGCAAAGCGCATGCTCGCCCTCATGAACAATGCCATTAGGTCATGGAATTCGACTTTTTCCCCTCGTAATCGGCTTAAATGGTGGCAGTGACCCGTACGCACTCCGTGCGATTGACTCTTTCACTTGTCGCGTTCATCAACAAGCTAATGCGCTCGTGCATTTTCAAGCTTCCAGGTTTTTATGCAGCCTTATTTGCCTCGTATAGCGTTGATTTCCTACGACTTTTTTTTTTTCTCCTCCACAAGTTGCTCATCAATCACCATTAAGTACCATGAACCTCTGAACTGAATTTTTGCCTCACCCGATTACATTTCTTAGATTTTTCGTGCGGGGTCTCTACTGTATTGTGTTACTGATGTTGTCCAGTCTTAATCGTGGTGTTTAGAACCTGGAAAAATCAGAAATGTTGGAGTGGATGCGTTGCACACAAGCCCTTCAACTAACTGATGAGTAAAACCGCAAGAGAATAACATGCCTTATATAAGCGAATCCAAGAAAGGCGAGGGGGACGCAACCCCCTCACCCCTCTTCCCAAGTTTGCCCGAAAAAAGGGAGTAAGAAGAAGGAGGGAAGGAAAGGACGAAAGAAGAAGAGAAGACGCTAATATTTGGTAATTTTTCAGGACGAAATTGACATTAACTGTGTATTAGATGCTTTGAAAATTCGATAATTTTCTGAAGGCCCCCGGACCCCCTTTCGGCCTCCTTGTAAGAGATGTCCATTGTCCATCCGCCTATGTCTACTGTGCTGACATAAAATTTATCATGATCATACAGTTCACGTATATGTATGAATTTTTTGTTTTTGCAGGTGGAGTGCATGGTCACGCCTGCTTACTGAATTGTACTAGTGAGTATACAGTTGTTTTTCAAATTTGACAACTGTAAATTTAAAAAAAAGATCAACGAGACTAATAGTTTACATCAAGCTAGGACCCCGACGTTCATCAGACATCATTCGGCAAATTTATTTGATTTTTTTTCTCACTACGTTGCTCATTAACCATCATTAAGCGAAAAGTAGCGTTACCTCCAAACTTAACTCGGGTCTCACCCGATTACTTTGCTCAGATTGTCGGTTCGAAGTCTCTAAAATATGCAGGGTGGTCCAAAAGTCCTGCACCACCCTTACAAACCCAGTGTTCTTGCCACTTTTCAGGGTGGTTCCCTTAAGATTTTCGGGGTTCTCGAAAGTCGTTTTTTTCTACTCATGAAATGTCAAGTCTCTGTCTCAATTTGTTCAAAAATTACACGGGTTATTATCCCTGGTGCTGATGGATCAGAACTTTTGGATCATCCCGCATTGTCTATGGTCAAAACAGACAAAAAACGAGAAAAATACTGGTTAAAAATCAACTCACCAAGATCCAAGCCATGACAAACGTCAAGGAAGAGCAGAAGAAGTATCCATAGGCAAAATAAAATCCTCCGCATTTCCGATGTCATGAGGGATGAGGGTAATCCAAGTCACAACCGACAGTCCATCATAATTAACCCCCGATTGAAATCGGGCACAATCCCGCGCAATGAAAATCGAACTTTTCCTCCACAAGATTTAACTTGTTGCGGCACACATCACATCACTCCCGAAAGCCACTTTCAGCATAAACTGGAGCCGATTTTCGTGGGTTGAAATTGAAGTTCAACCCATAAAACACTAATTATTTTCACCGGGGGAAGTGCTCTATTTGAACTACGGGATTTTCATTGATATTTTTAGTAGCACATGTTAATCACGTTGTGGGTGCTTGACGTAAGCAAGGCAACTTAGTAAACTTAAGGAAACCCAAATCTCGCTCACGGGAGGCATGGATATTCTCACGTAACGAGAGGCGCAACACTTATCTCAGGGGGACAATTTTGAAAACTGTTACGATGAGTGTCGAAAAATAACACCGGATGCCTTTACTAATAGAACGTGACGTAACGTAAACCAAGTAACGTAATATATGGAAGGAAAAGTAAATCTTGCTTACGGGAAACCACTGACATTCCCACGCGGCGAGAACGGTCACACTAGAATCGGGTAAACATTCGATCTGTAATTCGACTGTTATGATCGGTTTCGTGCAATTCCATCGGATGCTTTTAATTCCACACCGTAACGTAACAAACGTGAGGAAACTCCAATCCTGGCAACGAAAAAACAATAGCACTTCCACGCGGCAAAAACAGTCACACTAGAATCGGGCAAACATTCGATCTTGAGCGATCCTACAATTCGACTGTTACGATCATCGGATACTTTTAATTCGACACCGTAACGTAATGAACGTAAGGAAACCTCAATCCTGGCAACGGAAAAACACCAGTCCCACGCGCCGAAAACGGTCACATTAGAATCGGGCAAACATTCGATCTTGACTTATCTTGCGATTCAACTATTACGATCATCAGATGCTTTTAATTCCACACCGTAACGTAACAAACGTAAGGGAACTCCAATTCTGACAGCGGGAAAACAATAACACTTCCACGCGGCGAAAACGGCCACACTAGAATCGGGTGAGCACTCGATCTTGACAAATTCGACTGTTACGATCGATTTCAAAATATTCCATCGGATACTTTTAATTCCGCACCGTAACGTAATAAACTTAAGGAAACTCCAATTCTGACAGCGGGAAAACTACAACACTTCCACGCGGCGAAAACGGCCACACTAGAATCGGGTGAGCACTCGATCTCGACAAATTCGACTGTTACAGTCGGTTTCAAAATATTCCATCGGATACTTTTAATTCCACACCGTAACGTAATAAACGTAAGGAAACCTCAATCCTGGCAACGTAAAACCACGCGGCGAATACAGTCACACTAGAATCGGGCAAACATTCGATCTTGAGCGATCCTGCAATTCGACTGTCACGATCATCGGATACTTTTAATTCGACACCGTAACGTAATAAACGTAAGGAAACCTCAATCCTGGCGACGGAAAACAACACTCCCACGCGGCGAAAACGAGCACACCAATTTCCCGGCGAACTTACGTAAAAACTCACGCACACTGGAGATCGGGCCGCGCGGCGTTAGTCCGACCCCTTCGACGTACCGGCGCTTACTGACTGGCGGCGCGGCCTCGCGCGGCGTCGAGGGGCAGTCGCGGGGCGCTCGCGGCTCGCGGGAAGGTGAGAGGAGGACGCGCGCGGGAACTGATGCGACGCGCGAGGAGAGACGGACACCTGCGGCGGGGGGGGGGGGGGGGGAGGGGGGCTACGGAGGCAGAAATTACCCTCCGCGGTGCCGGGTTCAAACTGTAGCGTCACGATACGCTCCCCCCGGGACGCTCTTGTGCTTGTCGACTGGGGATGCAGGGATGCCTGCCTCCGAGTCAAGGGGTAAGCCGTGGATACAATGAAAGGTGAAAAGAAAGACGGAAGAAATGAAAAAATTTCGTGCGTGGCACGAGTGAGCTGTGATAAAAAACGTTCCGGACAAAATTCCCTCTTTTACTCTCTTTCTTCTGCTTACTCCTCTTCTTCTCTTCCTCATTCTTCGCCTTCATCTTCCTCTCTATCTCGTCAAATTCTCACTTTCCTCTTTCTCTTTTTCGTTTTTTTTTCTCGTATCCTATGTATCCTAAATTGCAAAAAAATCATGAAATAAATAAATAAATAAAAACTCTCGTTCATTAAATTTACCTACGTGACGTTTTGGTTGGAGGGGGAGGGTGGGGGAGAGCGTTACGCCATTTTGTTTTTAAGTGTCATGGAGAAGAACCTACGTCACGGAAGCGTCACGGAGGGGAGGAGGGTCAAATTTCAAAATTTAGCGTTACGTATTTCATGAACGGCCCCTAAGTTCAAGTATTATATTCCCGTGCCTGGAAGGCAAGTTCAGGTACTAACCCAAGCAAACTCTCTACTTGAGAAAAAAAGGAAGAAAGAAAAAAAAAAAAACTTTAAGAATAACTTTTATTTTTCAGCAATTATTCAGATTATCTGCGTTATTTTTTCTAAAAAAATGGGGGAGGGCGGCTGAATCCAAGCTTGATTAATTTGAAATGCGCGGAAGGTGAGAAGGTGCCTCATAGATGACTTATGGGGGGGGGGGGCGCATTGAAAAGTCGACCAAAATTGCTTGTCTAATACATGTACGGTCCTATGTTTTTGTTTTTTCACTCTTCAAGTGTTTTTACCGCTATGTATCAGAGCTTTTCGATTGTCGCGATGGATTTGTCGCCTTCATTTTTGGATGACACAACACCGCGACACTCGAGCTCGAATAGTTGCATCTGCCAAAATGCGCATACTAGTCGAGGAGTGATTTTCTTGAGCGCTGAGTTGCAGTTTATTGCATAATTATTTTCTTTCGTTTTCTTATCAGTAAGCCGCAATAGCTCATTACTATAAACATGCTGTAATCGATGACTAAGAATTAATCATCTTTATCAGTCCTGATATAACAAAAAACGAAATCAATCAAGTTTGCTAGTGAGTCATAGGTCAAAAATGGAAGGGAAGAAAATGCTTTAAAATCGTAAGAAGAACACGGATTGTAAAATTATTGTTACATCTTACCTTACTCTCCGGACATTATCAGCGATTCTTGATATTCTTAATTCCTAATATCTTACACCTGGGGACATAGTGTAATTACTGCAGAAAAATCACAGTAAGATGGGAAAAAATCCTTCCTTTTTTAATGTTTAAATATTTCACAAATCTTCAGCCTTAACTACTTAAATTTTACTATGGGAGGCGTTGTTTTAGGAAAATCTTTTGGGAATATGTCCTCCCTGGTCTCAAGCTATTTTTTGATTAATTGATAGGGCGAATATTGAATAGAATATAGGAACAACGCATCGTATTTAAAGATATCACGGGGATTTCAAGGATTTTTGTTCAATTTACATAGTAGGCTGCTCCCCACCCCAAAAAATATCCCTGAAATTATTGCGGTGAGGGTATACATTTACAAGGTCGGCGAGAGTGGTTCACGCGGTAAAAAGTGTCGCATCCCGTAACCAAGAAGTGCTCCCGCCCTCCTTGATGGCTAATTGGACTCAAATTACGGTCCAACCTCCCCCTCGTCCCCTAGCACAACTCTCTTGAGCACTAGGACGACTGCAGTCCAGTATTGCCATTCGAATAAAAATGAAAGTCTTACGAATAGTTCACATTTTGGATCGGTTTCCTTGGGAGTTAAATCAATGACGCGCTAAATGGTGGATCTACAAAGCTTGAATGTGTATACAATAGAAATAATTGACTAACTAACATAACTGAATAATTACTTAATTTTAAATATTTCTATTTTATTATTTTTTGCTGCTCATCCAATTATGTTTCATTCAATGTGTATAGTTTTAGTGATTAAACGGACCGCGTTTAACAGAAAGGAACCAAGCCACATCAGCTATTGCCAAATTTAACTGGGCAATTTAATATTTTACGAGGGGACGTTTGTGCGGATTCCTTTGAAAATTTTAAGGAATTGGTCTGTACTGTAGAGAAAATTCACTGAAATTTGCACGAAAATCCGCACAACCGCGCGTTTTCATGTAGAATATTAAATTTACCAGTTAAATTTGGCAATAGCTGATGTGGTTTGGTTCCTTTCTGTTTAACGCGGTCCAAATCGGCTACACATCTCGGATGAAATTATTAAAATAATTTCATGTTCATTTCAGGGCCACACAAACAAAAAAAATATGCTATTTCCCCCCTTTTTCCCCTTCAAAATGGACATGCAGAAGTAATTTCGAGTGAAATTCGGGTAAGTGTCCATTGTCTAAATGAAAACTGGACTCGGCTCACATTTCAGGAGGGAAAGAATAGAACGGAATAAAATTTTCACTAAGATATTCATCAGACTTTACAGTGCTAGTTTCGCCAATGCGCCGAGAAACAAAATCATATACGTGTATTTACGCCTGTGATGTTACAGATTCCTTTTCGCAATTTGTCGAGAAATCAATAGTCATCGTTATTATCTCTTATTCCGTCAAATTCAACAAGACTTTTTTCTAAAAATTTCTCGCTTTAACGCCAAAATGATTTTTTCCAAAATTAAAAATTAAAAATGAAAAAAAAAAAAAAAAAAAATAGAGATTCCAAACAAAGGACGACAAATCAAAGAAGGCGAGAGAAAACTCTAAACTTCATGCTGAGATACCTAATTTTTTGCGAATTTGACGGCTGGCAACGTTGTGATACATTTATGTAATACATTTCTTAAAGAATTGACAATGTCGCAATAAATATTAGTAATTGTTCACTTCAGTTAGGCAACGCTGGAACTAAGCTCAGATGTAACAGAAAAATTTTAAGCTCTCTTCAAGCGTCGCATGCGACGGATACTGAATGAATTTCATTATAACGCCTGGATACAACTATTTGAACTTCATGGATGTCCGTGTTGCATACCCACAGAGATGAAGGCGTTTTGACTTCAGACACCAACCGCCTCACCAGCGGCGTCAATGAGAGGAGTCATACAAAATAGGAAAACATTAAAAGCGATGTTAACATGGAACGTAGAGATTTTGCAGATGGTTTCATTGATTTTCTCTTTGAATTTTGCCCTAGCAGAACCTCGTGCAATTTACAATGTGAAGAAATTAACATCAAAATTTGCAGCTTTAGCCGAAAATTTCATGTCCAACCTTTCTGAAAGGTTCGTTTTATACGGCGACGGGCTTTTATGTGAGTATCCAAAATGACAGAGTGCCTTCAGGTCTTCCTTTGTATTTTGAAGACATCTTTTAGACATGAATAGTTGTTCTGAATCATGCTCAATACATTGCGATATCAAAACTGAGGGACACAAGAAACTTACATTCTAAGCCTGTGCATGTGAGTATTCATGCCTAGGAGATACGTATTCAGTATTTTTTAAAGCCAAGGAGGAGTTGTGCAAGTTTGAAAACGCTGTAATCGAGTCAGCTCTCCTCTGTTCCATGCAGTTCAATCACTGTTATGAGTGCATGGAGCTTAAATATTTAAGCTTTTCACCCGGACATTTTAGATTTTATTACGGAGAATTTTCTAACGTCTGACAACTTGGCTGCAGCCTTGTTTCGACTGATTAACTTTACGGGACAAGACCTATTATTTTTCTCGTTTTGGATGGAGAAAGTCCTCCTTTTTTTCCTTTTCCCCCTTCTTACTTTTTTTCCCGTCTCCAGCCTCCTTTTGTTTTAGACCAAACAACGGCGGAGCACTGCATGCTGCCATTAAGCTTCACCGTGCAAATCCAACGCAGTTGGGTTTAGTTAATAACTGTGACTGCTCCGTGAAAGAGTTCGAGTTAGTTCAGCAGCAACCTCCTAAGAAAAAACTCCGTATGAACAATTAAATGTTGCCAAATTTTATCTCGTAAAATATGAATTCTTTTAAACATTGTGAACATTTTCGCCATAATATTTCAATAAATTTTACCTTCCCAATCTAATCTAGTGTATTTGCACATTTTGAGGGCAAGAATTCATAATTAACATTAATAATCAAATATTTTACGAAGAGAAAATTGGCAACATTTGAATTTTAACGCGAGTTTTTCCCTAGCCGTTGTTTGCGTTTTGCGTCCATGAGACTGCCCTCTGGGTTCCTGTCCAACTAGGGGATCTGGGCAATATGGAACAAAAGCGTGTGATATATTGTTGGGAGTAAAATTCGCGCAGTTCAATTTGCAAGGTTGAATTTGAGAATCTCATTTTAATACGGGGTGTCTCAAGGTCAACACCAACAAATTTCTGAGGTATAACTTTTGCCAGGAAGCCTATTTGGCCATTTTTTGCTATTTTGACATGCATTCAAAATCGGCTTCACAATATTTTTTTATTCTAGAGATAACTGGTCATCTAGCTGCATTCCACTGAATGGTAGTTTGAGGATTTAAAATCGTTTTTAAAAAGTATCATCGGGAAATTGAGGTGGAGGAATGATCTGGAGCTGAATACACTCATTGTGATAAGAAGCGTATTTTCGTTGATAGTGGGTCAAGCCAAAAATGCCGCGATGATGGCGGCGAGATCATAATCGAGTTGGTAAACATTCAAGGTTAGACTTTTGGAATTGATGCTGGTCGGATGCCATCATCTTC